TGTCCGCCGACCTCCAAATACAGAATATCACCCAAATCATACGCTGAAGACAGTAAAGCACGGTGGTCTGAAAATCATGGTATGGGCATGCTTTTCTTACAACGGTGTAGGTCCCATACACATGATCGATGGGATCATGGACCAACTTGCCTATGTACAGATACTAAAAACTGTCATGCAGCCATATGCTGAGGAAGAGATGCCATTAATTTGGACATTTCAGCAGGACAATGATCCTAAACATACCAGCAAGGTGGCCAAGGAGTGGTTTACTAAAGAGAAGGTTGATGTAATGCCGTGGCCAGCACAGTCCTCGGACTTAAATCCCATTGAAAACTTGTGAGGAGACATCAAGCGCTACGTTTCAAAGAAGTCCCCGACTTCTAAGCCGCAGCTTTGGCAATTTGTGCAGGAGGCATGGGCCCAGATTCCCCTCAAGCGTTGCAAAGATTTGGTGGACTCCATGCCACGTAGGTGTGAGGCTGTGATAGCTAATAAAGGCTATACAACAAAATATTAGATTATAGACGAATTGTATTTTAGGTGGATTAGATTATTTATAAGATATTTTGAAATTTATTACATTTTTTGTTAATTGTTTACTTTGACTACTATTTCAATGAACAGCATAATATATACTTTTTTGTTGTTATTAGCTATATCTTCTAAAATGTTTAAGTTACCCAAATGAAATGATTGTTATATTATTTATAATTAAATACACTAAGCCTTTATGGAAAAACTTGTTGACAAAGTAGTGTTTGTAATAGTATTTTTGAATCTTAAGCGTGCAGGTCGTAAGCACTGCTATTTCGGTGAACACAGCTGTACTTATATGGTCGGAAATGTCTGCTTCGCTGCGTTGCAAACTTTTGACTGAAATTATAATACTCTCTGCAAGGGTATAAAAATAAATCGACGACAGATTCAAAATGGAAAATAATATTTAATATCTCTATCTATAAATCTATCACTAAGAAAACTAGGAATCAACGCACAGCCAAAACCACTGGTTAACAATATTAATACGCATTTTTATTACATTCTAATAACTTTAAACTGATTTGCTAAGATTTATTGGGGCTCCCCAAGTGGCCCCAATCGCTTCCAATTGGAAAAAAGGTAAATTTTTTTTTCAAAAATTCTGGACGCTTAACCGTTTAACTAATCGAATCCGTGTTTTCGCCAAAAAAAATAGTTTAAGACATTATAAATATTTAAAAAATTTGACCGCTTAGATTAAACGCTTTTTACTGTTTTTAACACCCGTTCTAAAATTACAATTTAGCCAAAAATATCTTCAAACGTCGAAAAATGGCACTTCTAAACTGAGTATCGAAAATTCCTTCGGTAAAGCTTCTTAAGCTTTAACGATTCATTTGATGGTTTCACCAAAGCTCTTGCTATCTTCTAAACAAAGAAACTAAGCAAAAAGTCGATCTATTATCGAATTTAAGTGTCTCCATAAGCATCATACGTTTTCTGCCGACATATTGCTATGTCTCTCTGCATTTTCATACAAATTGTCAACAAATGATTCCGTCTCCCTCCCTCTACCACTGCCTTGCATTTCCCTGCGCTTCCTTAAAATTATAAAATGAGCTTTAATACGGTTTTAATTTCTGTAGACTTTAGTTTATAGTTATTGGTGACCCACCCCCCATTAAAGTGCCCAAACTCTTTCAATTAGAAAATGAAATCCTGTACGCTAAACATTTAACCAATCGATACCGTGTTTTCGCTAAAAAATAGTTAAAAGCATAATAAATGTTTAACATTATCCTACTGAATTTCTTAACATGCAGAATCAAGCAGGATTGCCTTTGCACGTTCTTACGCTTAAAATTGGTACACCAATAATGTTGGTAAGAAACTTAAGTCTCCCAAAGTTATACAATGGAACGAGATTGCAAGTGAAAGCTCTTCACACATTTGCTATTGAAGCCGTTATTTTTACCGGCTGTGCCAACGGAGAGACAGTTTTCATATCAAGAATTCCCTTAACGTCATCCAACTTTCTATTGAGTTTAAACGTCTACAGTTTCCTGTAAATGTCTGTTTTGCCATTACAATAAATAAGTTACAAGGCCAGACTTTGAAAGTAGCTGGATTAGATCTTAGGGACGATTGTTTTTCCCATGGACAATTTTATGTGGCCTGTTCAAGAGTTAGCTCAGTAAAGAGCTTAATCATCCTATCTCCTGATGGCCAAACAAAAAATGTTGTTTACAGAGAGGTTTTGAAATAACTTTTAAAAATATTTGAACTTATATTGTGGACTAGGCCTATTTGGGGGAAACCACATTAAAAACAAGAGAGAACGCTATAGTCGAGTGCCTCGACTATTAGATACCCGTTACTCAGCTAAACAACTTAATATAAATACGTCTTCTTGTATGTTTTTCGCCGCTCGAATTAGCACCTTGGCCAGCTGTTCCAAAGTCATCCGTTAGATGGCGCTATTGAAAGGCGGAAATGTAGGCGCTAGCCAGGCTTAAGCGTTTAATGGGTTTTTGGGCGTTAGAGTGGGCGTGGCAAACTTTTATTAGGCCAATCGATAGGTATTGACGAAACAAATACATATCAATTAAAATATCAAATTAAAAATATCAATTAAAAATTTTCATAATAGCATCAAAACTGTGGCTACAGCTTGTGTCTTGTGGGGGCGTGGCACCATTTTGAAACAAACTTGCGCTGCGTAGGAACTCCTAAAATCTACATGCAAAATGCCAATCTTCTAGCTTTTATAGTTTCCGAGATCTCAGCGTTCATACGGACAGACGGACATGGCTAGATCGACTCGGCTAGTGATCCTGAACAAGAATATATATACCTTATAGGGTCGGAAACGCTTCCTTCTACCTGTTACATACTTTTGCACGAATACAATATACCCTTTAACTCTACGAGTAACGGGTATAAAAACGCGCCGTATCCTCTACCTCCGGGTGGTGTGGAAATGAGGGTTAATTCAAGTTTCAGCCAAAACTACTAATATATTTAAAGTAACATCTAACATACACCAAAACCTAAAAAAACCGAAAGTATTATTTTAATAAACGTGTATTAAAAAGAAACTATCGACAGTATTAAAGTATACGTATTAATTCAATACCTAAGAATATAATGCCGATACTTTTTAGTGTCACTTCTATATCGAAAAGTCTACAACGCGAATATGTGGTGTAATTTTTATACCACATACAAATAAGTTTTCAATTTAAAATTAATACTCCTGGCTTCAAGAAAAAACTACAGGCAGTACACAGGAAATCAGTATTAATTTACTACTAAATAATATTATAAGGCCCATACTCTGTAGTTTAAAATTTAAACCGAAGTTTTGATTCTTGTCTCTGGTGTGACAAATGAATCTGTTCAAACTTAAAACGCGTTACCATATTTTATTGGTTTTCGTCGCGTTAGTGACTTATTGCCGTCATAGGGTTCCTGCATTCTGGTGAAATTCGTGGAGGTTGAAGACGTATGTACGTACACATCCAAGTAAATTAAAATTGTTTTAATAATAAGGACCATAACATTTGGTCTTAATTGGTAAATTGAACATAAATAACCGTAAGTACATTACCGTTATAATTGAACTGTGCAAAAATCGGAAGCAAATAGTGGTGCTTACAAGTAATTTGCGCAGTCGTAGATACTGTAAGTCACAAAAGTATTCGTGGCAAAGAGGGTTAACGGGGAAAAACACAAACTTTTGGTGGAAAAAAAATCCGCACCTTTCGGCTCCGAATATTAATACTGTCATATCCACATCCCTGGGAACAAACGTATCCACTCAAACCGTCCGAAGAGTGCTCAGGAGCCAAGATCTGCATGGGAGATGCCCTAGAAAGAAACCCTTGCTCCCAGCCATAAATATATCAAAGCGGCTTTGTTTTGCTCAAACGTATTTAGACCGGAATTTTGAGTACTGGGAACAAGTAATATTTAGTGATGAAAGCAAATTTAATATATTCGGATCAGATGGAGAAGGAAAAGTGTGGCGAAAGCTCTGTGAAGACCTCCTTTTGCAGCAATAACCGCTAGTAGACGTCGGTGCATACTAGACTTCTGCATGAATGCATCCAAAACGACAAATGAATCATTTAGTCTAGAAGTGGGCACACTTTTTTTTCTGCACAGTATATTTGGGTGTGAGTGAGTATGGTAGTAGTGTCAGTTTTGCTTGACAGTGCTCTCACTCATTCTATAGTTTACAGCTGTTGATGAGTACAGTAAAATTGGTGTGCAGTAGTCAACGCACTGTACAGTGTTTTGGTGTACAGTTGACATACTTTAGTGAGTGAAATTTCATGACTGGTACATACACACATATATAGTTCTCGTGTGTATGTATGTCAAAGAAAAAATACGATTAAAAAATTGATTTGTATTTTTGTTTTAAATGTATTTATTATAAAATAAAGAAATAAAATAAAGAAATAATTAAAACTAATTATACTAATTATTTTATGTTATTAATGAATCTATATTTAAGTTATTAATATTTGAATGAAGGAACATTATTTTATTAACCATGTCTTATGCGGTGGGAATTTTTGACCGTTTTTCGCTTATTAAATTTCAGATGCTGCACTGCTCGCGGGAGCTGCTAGTATCTTGCAGCTAATTTTATAAAGCAGAGGAAAACGGTCTTTATTAATTGACCACCACTGCAGAACATAAAAATCTTCAGTATATATTATATATATATATTCATCCTGAATTAAAAGTTTGTTTCTTTTCTATTTCTGTGAATTTAGTTAATTTATTAGTGGATGGAAACAAAAATAGTGCAATGTTGTGATATTCTTTTACATTTTCTATAACTATTGAATCTAAGTACTCTAAAAGCGAAAGTTAGCATTATTCAACTATTTTTATATCATTGTCATTTGGTGAGGATATTTTTTTTAAGCTATTAATATGTGGAACAGTCAAGTGCAATGTTGGATAAGTGCTACCCTCCAGCTTTTTGGAGCAACTTTCAAAAGGAGCAAGAAGGTTCACCATTCCGCTAATATTAATTAAATTTATATCCAAAATTCTTGAAATTTCATTTTTTTTCCACCAAAATCTGCGAAATTTCCATCCAATTTAACTCAACCGACTTCAAGAGGTTAAATATAGTATTCCAACGAGTTGGACAGTAGCTTTTAAGGGTGCTTGTAAAGTTCCAGTTTTGTCCAGATTTTTTAAAATACTTAACAAGCTTGCTGCAGCGATTAACCAGATCCAGCAATTCTGGTACTTCTTTCACAACTTTGCCAATCACTTTGTGGATCAAGTGATTTGCACAGTGTATTGCGCTCAGTCCTTTGCTGCTTTCATATTAGCTCCTCGGTCGGTAACAATTATTTGATCGTCCATCAGTAAATCACATCCAAAGTCACCTAAAATTCGCACTATTTTGTTTTTTATTTGATTACCTAGGAAATTTTGATATTCTCATTAAATATTATATATTCCAATAAAATTTTATACTTCTTACCGGTACAGGAGACTCCACCCATTGATTTCACTGCTAGGAGGCGGTTTTTAAGTATGCCTTCTTTGACGTAATGCATAGTCAGAGAATCTGAAGTTATGCTATATCCATATTGGTTTTTCTCTTTAATTTCGATTCTTACTTCATTGAAGTGAATATCATAGAGCGCACCGATGTTTCGCGATATATGCATGTAGTTGTTGGTTGCGGCAGTACAGAGTCAATATTGACGTTTTCCCCCAGTTTCGCACCAACAAAAATAAAAAACTGTTCTAAGTTTTTTAAGCCAGTGTCCGCAATTAGATTTAACGGTCTACCACTCTTTATTGTTCACTCCGTTGCCAGATTGGTGCACTTTTCTTTGTTTTCTGAGGGTACATCTACGACAGGAAGACTGCATACGTTGCACACTACTGCATCAGTCGTCACCATAGCATAGAGTAAGAAACCATAGAGTAATAATGTATAGAGCCGTCATTTGCTCTGCCCGCGCTCTCGAGTGACTTTGCCAGTGATGCCACGTAGGGGAAAAACGGAAAAAAAGAGAGTTTTGCAAATGTTCGAATCGAGCCTGAATCCATGCCCATGGTGAATTCTTATTGCTGCACTGGTCGCTCTTATTCCTAAGGATAGGTGCGAGAATTCCCCATACTATTGCTTGTGCTTCGCACATGTTAGAAGTGGTGAGAAACCGAAGTTTGAAGAAGTTAGCTTCGAACATGGCTCTCAGCAGAGCTTTGGCAGAGGCCCGGGCAGAGCAAATGAAACCTCTATATAGTTTCTTACTCTATGACTTGGGTTCGCTAAAACAATCAGACATCCATCCAATAATGTTTTGCTGAAAGCATGAGGTATTTCAAATCTATATACAAAACTACATTGTTAAGGTACTTAAAGATTGTACGGGTTCTATGTTTATAAATAAATAATATTAAAATAAATGTAATATATAGCCTTAGCCTTGGAAATCCATATTCAAGAGTTGGTGATTTTGCTTGTTGAGTTGTATATGAATAAAACAAAAACAAAGACCACGGCAAAAAATATGCAAACTTGGCGAGCGTTCTAAATATCAACATTTTGAGTTTGAGACATAATAGTGTTGTGTTTTCTTGATACGTTAACGCTAATTTTATTCTAATTGGAACATTTTTAAAAAATGGCTAAATGACAGTATTTCTTTTTATGGGGAGGGTTTAAAATGTATACTACAGCTCTCATCCAATAGTATAAGGGTTATACGGAATAATATGAAATATGTACTCGATAGCATGAAAAATAAACTAGGAGTATGGGTATATAGGCTTTATAATGAACAGATTGTATTAATTTCAATAAAATAAAATAAGATAAAATAAATTTCAAAAAGTACTAGAACCATTATGAAATAATCTGTGTTTAAAATTTATCAACCTTTAAAATTTTGGTGCCGGCGACCCCAATGATAATAAAATATTAATAATAAAATAATACAACATTTTTGTTTCTCATTATCGTAAGTTAAGGAACGTATAAAATATTCTCTAATTCCATTTAAGGGAATTGTTTTTGTGATTTTTTCCTGACGATACAGTTAAAATGTATTTACTCAACGAATAGTACATTAAAGTATGACATTCGAAGATTTCTTATCAAATTTTTACAAAGAAATATTCAAAAATATGGCAATGGTAGCAATTGTCCGGACGTGTCTCGAAAAAAGTTGAATTGCAGTGCCCCTCATAACTCGGTGCTGTATCATCTCAAATCAAAAACTCCAAGGTCATTCGTTAGATAATAATTTGCCCCAGGTAACGCTGTCGAGTTTTTTTTAAATTCCAATTTTTGTTTTTTTTTCGAAGAGTTTGAAGTGAAAAACACAATTTTTGGGAAAAAATCGGCTAATTTGTCATTGGAAAAAAAACGTGACTTCGTTACCTTGTAAAATATATACAGAAATAGTGTTAAAAATGTTAAAAGAATCGGTGCAGCAGTTTTGAAGTTATGAGGGGCACCGACTTTGAAAGCGTGAGTTGTGGGAAAAACGCTTTAAAGTTTTGGATACCCAAAAATCGAGCACAATACGAGCTAACTTACCTACGTTCAACTGCCCATAACTTCGGAAGTTTTACTCGAATCAATCTAAAATTTTAACGCAATATTCTTTAAATGTTGTGCATTCAGAAAAAAAATTTTAAAAAAGGACCAAAAAAAATGTTAAATACCATACCCCCCTCTTAAATGTTGTGCATTCAGAAAAAAAATTTAAAAAAAAAAGGGAACAAAAATTTAAATATCTTACACCGTTAATTGAGCATTTTATTCGAATTTCGATGGGAGATCGTAAAATTGATATATTTTTCATTTTTATTTTGGAGTATCCAGGTTAGCCTTTTCGCCAGACCGACCAGTCAAAGATGTCCAAGAAGCTTAAAATAATTTTCCGCTGGTGACGGACAAATCCCTTTCTATATCTCTAGGTTTCATGAACCAAAGGCCATTACAGAGTGATAAAACATTCTTACATTGTGCTAATCATATTATGTTTAAGTTAGACGTAATATAGTAGACTCGAAATGCATTCTTTCAAATAGGGCTCAGAATGGACTTATAAATGTTTTAAACATTAACATTTACATTTTGCTTAAGCATGGTCTTTAGAAAGTGAGACCCAGCAGTCCGGTAGGTCTGAAGTATAGAGCTCATCCACTGTCGGGCCTGACACACTGCCTTTTCACCATCGACAACTAAACTAAGTTGTGTGAACAGCGCCCAATTTGGTATATATTCATCTGCCCTGGAATAGTGTCGATAAGTCCCTTTGTGATAAATAATGATAGAGAGGGCCCTTCCTCCCCCCCCCCCCCTCTTGTCTCTTCGTAAAACAAGGGAAAGAAAAAAAAAAAAAAAAAAAAAATTAAATTTTTCAACTCTATCTACCCCCCCCCCCTTTTTTTTTTCCTCCTCTTCCCCTTTTTTTCTAAATTTAAAAAAATTCCTTTTTTTTTTTTAAGGGAAAAAAAAAAAAAAAAAAAAAATACAAAAAATTAAAATTTTCGGGCCCCAAAAACCAATTTTAAAAAAAAAAAAAATATAAAAACCCCTTCCCTCCCCCCCCTCCTTTTACCGGGGAAAAAAAAAAAAAAAAAATTTAAATATTATAAAACACCCAATTTTTTTTTTTTTTTTTTTTTAAAAAAAAAACATTTTTTTTTTCTTTGAGAAGAAAAAAAAAAAAAAAAAAATTTTTTAAAAAATTTTTTTTTAATTTTTTTTTTCTGGTAGTGTTACCAGTCGGTGACACACATGGGTTCCTAGTATTTCATACTGAGGTGCCCATAATCTGGGCACCTCAGTATGGGTCGTCGACCTGGAAAGTGAACGTGAGTTAATACGTTTTACGAAGTCCATGTTTGTTGCCTTGTGGAGGACTAAGTTCCTGAAGCCTGGTCATTGGCAAGGTTCAAGGCTGCAGAAAGGTGGAGTTGCAAAATACAAACAGTGTTGGTTTATTATTGCGTGTGTGTGGGCAGGGTAATGTCGGCACATACATATGTACAATAATATAACGGTGCTTTGAACCCGAATTTCATTGCCACGTTTGTATCCATTTATGTTATTCAAATAACGTACAAATTATTCCACAAATAACATAAATTGATGCAAATGTGGCAATGGAATTTGGCTTAAAGGTTATTCGAGTTTAATATGCTGGAACAACATAGATTTTTGTTCATCTCTAGTGGTCCTGAGCTTTTTATGTAAAAATGTGCGAGGAAGCAAAACATTGTTATTAAAAGGGTCTAATACTAACTACGTTTAAATAAAGTAAAACACAATAATTTCCTTGAAGCTGACCCTGATTCATTTTCTTAAGGGGTTATCCGGGTCTTGACACTTCAAAAAATTCATTTTTTTCAAACTTTTTTATATAATAGTACAAAATGTCAGGAATGTTATCCGAAAATTTCAAGTCGACCTAAGCAAAACTGTAGGAATGGGAGAAATATAAAGCCCAGCGAACGAATGAGTCATAACAGGCAATTCGGGCTCTGGCGTCGAGCAGATGCGGCACTTTAAACGCGTTTTTGTCAAAACCACTTTTTTTAAGTCGGTAGTCACGTTTTCTCAAAAACTATTGCACCGATCGACTTCTGCTTTTGAACACTTCTTTTAGACATGTTTTTATTGTCCTTAACGTCCTTTTTTATTTTCAATTACAACTCATTTTATAAGCCAAAATATGGCCAAAATTTACGTAAAAAATAACACTTTTTATGAAAATCGCTACAAAAAATTCAATTTTTAATTAAAAAAAAAGGCTCGTAGAGGACAAGCCAGACACATACACTATCAGAATAACTTTGGTTATTTGATTTCAGATAAAAATTGACGGAGATATTTTGCCTACCGCAAGGACACAATTTTTTATGTGGTCAAGTACAAGCCTGCCTCAAACGCTCAATTTTTAAAATTTTTGGTTCAAATTTTTACACAATGTTGGTCAAACCTTAAACATTAATGTACAATAAATGAAATTTTTGAAATTGTCGTAAGATCTTTTAAAAAAAATCAGGAAAATAGGCTAAAATTAGCTAAGTAAACAACAATGAACAAAATCCGGACTAAGTTTAAATTTTACCTAACTTAATTTCCTTAAGTTTGACTTCCGTTTTTTTTAATAAATAATATAATATAATATATATAAAATATAATAAATACATATATAATATAATATACATATATGCACAACGTTGACGTTGGGGACAATTTTTATGTATGTATATCGATCATTTAAATGACTTTTGCTGATTTTAAGGACAGTCCTCAACATTTTCTGGCATATAGCGTATATTTCGGGGACATTTTAATATACGCAGTGAAGTACGAATTATTTTGGTCCATTTATTTACTGTGGTAAAAAGAGCTATTTTTGCTGCAAAGATTCAATAACCTGTTGTTATATATACTCATTTTAAATAATAGTTTTTAATATTTTTTCTTTTATTATATATTTATAATTGATTATGGGGACTTCTGATAAAAGTGCGTGTAATGCAATGACTATAAATGTGGAAAGTTTAAATTTATGTTAATATGATATTCTATTCGATGAAAACATGTTGAAAATTCTTAAGTTAAAGCTATATTTAAAAAATTGTATATAATTTTTTTCTGAAAGGTGGCATCTCTGTGCTGTATATATGCATACCGTATCAATTTCTTGTTTGGGGACTTCACAAAGGGTTTTTTTTTATTTTAATTGGCAATACAACAATAATATTCAATAAAAAAAAATTTTTTTTTTGTTAATTCCTGATTAATGAGTTTACTTATGTATCGAATAGTATACAAAACATAGCAATTACAAAATTTGAAATTTTTTTTTTAAATGCAAAGGTTAAAAACTTATAATTTACCTTT